TCACAAGTAAAAATTCCAGCAAGCACTAATCAAACCATTGAAGTTCTTATGTTTGGTCCACATATTAAAAAATTGAAAGGACTCTTTGTTGTACCAACACGGTCATGTATCGAGACAATGCATGGGGAGTGATCGGAAAGGCATCCAGAAGAAAGGAAATTTGCTTCAACAAATGCCCCATTTTGCACTCAAAAATCATTGACCATTGCCCTAGCAATTTTGCTCCAAACCGACCCATTAGTCCACGTGTAAAAAAACCAATGGAGCGCACATCCGTAAGACCCACATTAAGGCAACAATTTGCAAAATCTTTAATTTCATAAGGGATAACATCTGCCCCATTACATTTCTCATCAAACTTAAGAACATTGTTATAGTCACCAAGAATCAACCAAGGCAACGACACATTTTCATTGAGCTCCATAATGATATTCCAAAGTGGTCTTCGGTTAACCATAGTATGAAATCCATATACAAAACTCACAAGAAAAGTAAAAGAAGTTACATTGCAAGTAGCTTTACAATGGATAATTTGTGGATGAATCTTCATCACATCCAAAGAAACTTTGGATGGATTCCACAAAATTAATATTCTTTCGGCTCTATGCATGCAAAAATTATTTACTTGCATGAAGCCATCAAACTTATTTCGCAAAATCCTCTTCAATTTTTGGTCCCTCAACTTTATTTCCAAAATTCCCATAATATCAATGCTATGTAGCTTGATAAACCCTCGAATCCCATTTTATTTAAGGGGTGAATTCATACCCCTTATGTTTCAAGAAACGATCTTCATGATGTTGAAGCAAGGGATGATCCCTTCTTCTCGTCAACTTTTGATCCTAACTTCCTTTTCTCCTCGACTTTGCCTTTAAGCTTTCATTCCCAGATTTACATGAAGCTGCCTCAATGGAAATGGATGATGAATCTNTTCCTTTTCTCCTCGACTTTGCCTTTAAGCTTTCATTCCCAGATTTACATGAAGCTGCCTCAATGGAAATGGATGATGAATCTACCCAGATTTTGAGGCCCCAACATGAGCAGATTTTTTCATCCTAACAGCCTTATTTTTCTTGGTAATAACCTTTACAAACGGTGCCTCAATCTGCTCGGTATTTTCCATCAGCTGGTTGTCCACATTTTCACTTGCAAACTGCCCAGTTTTTTGGTTATTAATTTACCGTTTTAGCCCATCCAAAGTCCCGATCAGTTCTTCCCCCGTTTGTTGCTCATTACAAGCTGTCTCGAGGAGAGGAATCTGGGAAATAAATGCACTTTTTTCGGCCTGCACAAATTTCTATTGGGCAGTCTCCGTGGCTTTTCCTTTTCCTTTCTCCCCACAAGTATGTTTATTGTTACATCCAATAGTCGTGCGACCAAAAACTTTACAAGAACCACAGAATTTTGGTTCATGCTCAAAAACGATTTCTTGTTCCCTCAATGTGCCATTTGGGAACCGAATCTTTACCTCCCGCACAAGTTCAATGGACGCATCAACTTCTACTAGAACTCTTGCAAAAGATATTCGACCCCTAGTTGCTGTAATTTTGTCGGTTGAGATGGGTTTCCTAACCTTTGACACGATTTTGCCCAAGGCATTCGTATTCCAAAATTCCAAAGGTAGACCCGGTAGGTCTATCCACACCGGCATAGTACTCACGTCCTTATCATGAAAATCAAAACAACGTGACATAACTTTAAGCATTAACGGTCTCCCAAATACCAAATAAGGACCCCCATGCAAAACACTTAGTCTATCCACATTCGTTTCGAATTTGAAGACTAACCAACCACTTGCATGCACAAAATATTTATAACTCACCTTCCATGAGTCACAAAGTTGGAAGAGAGCCACTTTTCCCGAAAACCGACCGGCAAAGTATCCAACAAGCCCGTATCCCCAATTCTCAATGTTGTCTTCATCCACTTCGTCCAAGACAACTTCATCCAATTGATTTACAAAAGCATTCAACTTTATATTTTCTTCCATTTTTGGATTGTCTTTAAAACGATTGACCCATGGGGCTTTCATATCTTTCACAACCCCATTTCCAGCAACATTGACATGTTTATGTTGCTCCAATTCCACCGAATTAGATTCAAAATCCGAAAATTCAGAATCCGTATCATTTTTCCCAAGTGTGAATGAAACACTAGGTGAAGGCAAGCTGGCCTTGGGTTTTTCAGCAACATTTTCCATAGAAGAAGTGGCAAAAAATGGAGCATCCACAGCTAGACGAGCAGGCAGGGGCTTAAGGGGATTGAGCCCAAGAAGAGAAGGAGAACGGGCCTTTTTCTTACCATAAAAAGCAGTCCAAGAAGTCCAGTAAAGACAAAGAAGAACTGCCCAGCACCGGCCCAAATAGAGAGAAAAATAAACTGCCCAACAAATAAATTGCTAAACCACACAAAACAATCCAAAGAAACGTCCAGAAATAATGCCCAACACAAGCCCAAATTGAGGGAAAACAAAGCCTCGAATAACATCTAGAATAATACAAATGAGAAGGCCCAAAGTGAGGAATAAATGATCCACAAGAAGTCAGCCAAAACAGACCCAAAGAAACGTCCAGAAAAGGGCCACAAAATCCCTAAGAAATCTGTCTCGAAAAGGCCCAAAGAAAATGTCCAGGCAGAAAACAAGCTGAAAAATGGCCCAACAAAAACCAATTAAGAAACAATCCAAAGAAAGGCCCAATCACAAGAACAAAAGTGAATCACAATAGCCCAAACACAGGCCCAAAACCAGCAATGGACCTGGTCACCAGGGGGACAAAAAAGCCAAAAATGGAAGCTGCCAAGGAGTAAGAATATTGTACCACACAGAGTGCCAAACACAGACCAAGTAAGCCAAACCTACAAGAATACAGCCACCAACCCTAACACCCAGCAGAAGATAAAAGGAATGTAGGGAAGACCAATTCAAAAAACTGAGGAGACCGATAGATACACAATATATACAATAATATACTATTGTAACACCAGAAAATGGGCCAGAAAGTTTAACCAAATAACACAAAGTTTAACCAAGCAGCTCCAACTAGAAACGACGAAGATGAAGACCGAAATTGGAGAATAAAATCGATCAGCAATTGAGAATCGAAAAAGGAACTATGAACCTTCAGAACTTAGAACAACAACAATGAAGCAATGCCAACTAAACCAACACAGAGCTGAAGGCCATCCAGCAAGAAGAAAAATCCAACGACCAAGCTGAATCAACCAAGCTGAACAGAAAACCAAGCAGCAAGGCACTGGCCGAACACAAATGCACCAAGAACAAACAGAAGCAAACTAAAAACCAGAGAACCTGAGCTTGCCTTGGACAACTAGCAATACCACAAACCAAACCAGCACCAAAATTGAACGAAGAAGCTCCAACCAGAAAGAAAGTATGAATATTGAAACTGAAGAACCAACTTAGCTAGAACTAAAAACCAAACTTGGAGCTCTGAAGAAGATGAAAATGGAGGCTGAAAATCCTTCAAAACTCACAAAGAGCAGAACATAAACAAAAATCAATATGTATTAATTCAATTTTCACAAAAAGATTAGTAAAATCAAACTAAAACACAAGAGAAAACACAAGAAAACTCTCAAAGCAAGTGTGCACCAAAGTGGGATTTTCTCTCACTAGGTTGAGAGCATCTCTCTCTAACTCACTTAACTAACTGAGAGCTCTTTAGCTGATTCCTATTCTTCCTTTGACTTTGAGTTGCTTCCACTTTGGATATATTGACATTTATTAATTGTTGCTTGTTTTGGGACCTTTCTAAGTTATTTCTGGCGGCATCTAGCTTTCCCTTTTTGGAAAGTTTTTCAAATACATTTAATTCTGATTTCGTTGTCTTTGTTGTGGATCGGGTTCTTTGTTTGGGCCTATCTTGGCTGGCTATTATTGGATCAATTTTTCCTCACTCTGGGCCATTTCAATTGGATTATTCTGGTCATGGATTCTGGGCTTTACTTTCCCTCATTTCTGCCTTATTTTGATATTGTGGGGCTTTAGTTCTGGACAGTTCCTTTGGGCCTATGTTGGGCATATTTCTAGAAATTTTCTTTGGGCTGTTTGGTGTGGATTAGCAGCTTATTTGCTAGGCAGTTTTTCTCTCAATTTGGGCCAGTACTGGGCAGTTCTTCTCTTTCTTTGTTGGACTTCCTTTGTTTGGACCTCTTGGACTGATTTTCCATAGGGAAGAAAAAGACACATACTCCTTCTCTTCTTGGGATCGGCCCCTTTAAGCCTCAGCTTGCTCATCCAGCTGAGGATGTGTCGATTTCTGCCACTACTTCAAAGATAATTGTTGCTGAAAATAACAAGGTCAGTTTCCCTTCACCTAGTGTTTCATTGGCACTTGGGGAAAATGATACGGATTCTAAATTTTTGGATTTTGAATCTAATTCGGTGGAATTGGAGCAACATAAACATGTCAATGTTGCTGGAAATGGGGTTGTGAAAGATATGAAAGCCCCATGGGCCAATCTTTTTAAAGACAATCGGAAAATGGAAGAAAATATAAAGTTGAATGCTTTTGTAAATCAATCGGATAAAGTTGTCTTGGACGAAGTGGATGAAGACAACATTGAGAATTCTTGGGGATACGGGCTTGTTGGATACTTTGCTTGTCGGTTTTCGGGCAAAGTGGCTCTCCTCCAACTTTGCGATTCGTGGAAGGTGAGTTTTAAATATTTTGTGCATGCTAGTGGTTGGTTAGCCTTCAAATTCGAAACAGATGTGGATAGACTTAGTGTTTTGCATGGGGGTCCTTATTTGGTATTTAGGAGATCGTTAATGCTTAAAGTTATGCCACGTTGCTTTCATTTTGATGACAAGGACGTGAGTACTATGCCGGTGTG